TTTGAGAAGAAGACTCGGCCCGCCCTTTACCTTTGCCTTTGCGTAAACTAGGATGACTTGTCGCAATCTCCTTCCTTCGGTTGCGTTGGAGATTACCCATATCCACGGAATGTCTTTAAAATGTAACAAATATTATATGATATCAAATGTTTTAATATGAGTACAATAGTAATAATAAAATGCGACTAATAAAATTAAGTAGTTTTAAAATTTAATGCAACAATTAACAAATAACTAGTTTTTTTACTTTTATGATGAATGCAACAATTAACAAATTAAATAATAGGCAAATGAAAAATGTAACTATTAACTAGTTTTTTACTTTAATGCAACAATTAATAATTAACTAGTTTTTTTACTTTTATGATGAATGCAACAATTAACAAATTAAATAATAGGCAAATGAAAAATGTAACTATTAACTAGTTTTTTACTTGAATGCAACAATTAATAATTAACTACTTTTTTACGTTTATGATTAATGCAACAATTAACAAATTAAATAATAGGCAAATGAAAAATGTAACTATTAACTAGTTTTTTACTTGAATGCAACAATTAATAATTAACTAGTTTTTTACTTTTATGATTATTGCAACAATTAACAAATTAAATAATAGGCAAATGAAAAATGTAACTATTAACTAGTTTTTTACTTGAATGCAACAATTAACAAATAACTAGTTTTTTTACTTTTATGATGAATGCAACAATTAACAAATTAAATAATAGGCAAATGAAAAATGTAACTATTAACTAGTTTTTTACTTGAATGCAACAATTAATAATTAACTAGTTTTTTACTTTTATGATTAATGCAACAATTAACAAATTAAATAATGGGCAAATGAAAAATGTAACTATTAACTAGTTTTTACTTTAATGCAACAATTAATAATTAACTAGTTTTTTACTTTTATGATTAATGCAACAATTAACAAATTAAATAATAAACAAATGAAAAATGTAACTATTAACTAGTTTTTTTGTATAACTAGTATAATCTAGGTATATAAGTAGATTATTGTATAACTAATAATATAATGTTTATAGTATATAATATATAAGTATATTACTATAAGATAAGTAATACACTTATATATAATACTTTAATATATATAAGTAAATAACAATAAATATAGATAATAAAGTAAATATTAAAAAGATGGAGATGTATAAGTAGATAATAAGTATATATTAAGTAGATAATAAATATTAGTAATATAATATAGGTATATAAGTAGATTATTGTATAACTAATATATAAAATAATGTTAATAGTATATAATATATAAGTATATTACTATAAGATGAGTAATACACTTATATATAATACTTTAATATATATAAGTAGATAATAGGTAGAGATTAAGTAGATAAGGAATATAAGTAATATAATATATGTATGTAAAGTAGATAATTAATAATTTAATATATAAGTAAATAACAATAAGTATAGATGATAAGTAGATATCAAAGTAAATATTAAGAAGATAATAAATATATATTAAGTAGATAATAAATATTAGTAATGTAATATATGTATATATAAGTAGATAATTAATATATATAAGTAGATATAATAATAATTATATAAATGATATATAATATATATGTAGAGAGATTTGGAGAAGATGAAGACGGAGATGATTAAGATTTAAGAGTATGAGAGAATAGAGAATTAGAGAGTAGGAAGTGTTGGAGAAGAGGTGTAAAAAATGTATAGAAAATAGGAGTATAAATAGGTTTTTTTTATCCCCACCCCACCCCCAGAACCCCTGGACCCCCCCTCCTACCCCCTCCAACGGCTATAGAGCCGTTTGGGTGGCCTCCCAACGGCTAGAAGCTTCAAGCAAATGGGGGAAAAAAATTAAAAATAGCCGTTAGGCCCGAACCGGGCCCGGCCCGGCCCGGCCCGGCCGGTTCGCCATCTGAAGGGCCCAAGCCCAGACCGCTTGTCTACTGGGCCGGGTCGACCCGACCCCCCCCCCCCCCCCCCGACCGGTTCCCGGTCCGGGCCGGTTCAAACAGTAACCGGGCCGGGCCGGTTCCGGGGCGGACCGCCCGGCCCGAATCCAGGCCTAATCAAGAGTTTCAAGATGTTTAGAGCCTTGACTTCTCAAATGTATTCAAACACAAAGGATAGACTACACATGAAATGAAAAGTATCACAAGAACAAGTGAAAAGCAATGAGAAAAAAGAAAAATTCAAGATTTTGTTTGATCGTTTTGACTCTATATTTCCCCAGAAATGACACCAAAAACTTGATTGGGCTAAACTTACAAGTATACAAGTGCCGATGTAGTAATAAAATACCGGTACATATCGGGTCGATCCACAGAGAAATGATTGATATTATAAAGTTTGAGTATTGAGTGCAAAGCATATAAATGATGTAACTTTTCAGGACTTTGTTCTTTGATATTGGTTTAAACAAGAATGAGAATTACTAAGGCAATCGGGATTCACCTAAATGCTTTAATATGATTTAATACTAGTTTTTTTCTAATAATTATGAATACGATGTCATTAATATATTCCCAACTCCGATTAAGGCAGCGGGAGGCCGGGAGCATGATTTTTGTTACGTGTAAATCCCATTACAGCTTACATTCATCTAGGCCTGGACTCGGGCCGGTTCGGGCCCAGTTCGGGCCTGGGCCCGGCCGGGCCTCGGGCCAGGAAAGTTGGGCCCGAGCCCGAACCGCCGGTGGGCGGTTCCGGTCCCGGGCCAAACCGGGCCGGGCCGGGCCTAACCGGTTCTAATTTTTTTTTTTGGCTCTTCTATTTAACCCCCAACCCCTCCCCCTCAACCCCAAACCACCCCAAACCACCTCAAATGGCCCAAAATACCTAATCCAACCCAAAACTTAAAAAAAATTCAAAAATTCAAAAAATAAAAATTAAAAACCGGCCCAAACCGGCCGGGCCGGTTCACCAAAAACTGGGCCCGAGCCCAAACCGCCCAGCAGCCGGGCCGAACCGAACCGGTGGACCCACCGGGCCCCGGGCCGGGCCAAACAGTAACCGGGCCGGGCCGGTTCCGGGACGGGCCGCCCGGCCCGAGCCCACCCCTACATTCATCTACCGAAAACTCTATTGAATATCAAGACATCACACCCGTATCATATAAGACCGGGTATATTTCTATTCTCATTATTATACTACGTATATGTTTATCCTTTAATGTTCATAGTTTAGACATCAATGTTAATTGCAACCATAAACTAAATTTAACATATTTCTATGTTGTACACCATAGTCATAAACAATCAAAGTATAAAGGACAAATTACAATTTATTAGTTCTTGTATCAAACACCTAGTGGCATAGAGGTTCGTCCCTAGACTTAGCTAAGAAATTTGCCTCTAATGTTCATGTTAATCACAATACAATAATTAAATGTAATGGAATATGAAAATGCAAAAGAAATACTACGTAATACATAAGCATCAATTATTTCGGAGGATAATACAATGAGGATTTGGCTTTTTAGCTCAATGGGTTACAGACAGTGCAAGGGACAACACAATCACACATCTCACCTAGTTGCTCAATAATGAGCAAAGTTCAATTTCAAATGAGAGAAATCAAGTTTGGTAACTGAAGTAAGAGTAGTGAGTTGCTAAATAGGATGTCAACAATTATTAATATATAGGCTATTTGGGATAATAATAATAATAATAATAATAATAATAATAATAATAATAATAATAATAATAATAATAATAATAATAATAATAATAATAATAATAATAATAATAATAATAATAATAATAATAATAATAATAATAATAATAATAATAATAATAATAATAATAATAATAATAATAATAATAATAATAATAATAATAATAATAATAATAATAATAATAATAATAATAATAATAATAATAATAATAATAATAATAATAATAATAATAATAATAATAATAATAATAATAATAATAATAATAATAATAATAATAATAATAATAATAATAATAATAATAATAATAATAATAATAATAATAATAATAATAATAATAATAATAATAATAATAATAATAATAATAATAATAATAATAATAATAATAATAATAATAATAATAATAATAATAATAATAATAATAATAATAATAATAATAATAATAATAATAATAATAATAATAATAATAATAATAATAATAATAATAATAATAATAATAATAATAATAATAATAATAATAATAATAATAATAATAATAATAATAATAATAATAATAATAATAATAATAATAATAATAATAATAATAATAATAATAATAATAATAATAATAATAATAATAATAATAATAATAATAATAATAATAATAATAATAATAATAATAATAATAATAATAATAATAATAATAATAATAATAATAATAATAATAATAATAATAATAATAATAATAATAATAATAATAATAATAATAATAATAATAATAATAATAATAATAATAATAATAATAATAATAATAATAATAATAATAATAATAATAATAATAATAATAATAATAATAATAATAATAATAATAATAATAATAATAATAATAATAATAATAATAATAATAATAATAATAATAATAATAATAATAATAATAATAATAATAATAATAATAATAATAATAATAATAATAATAATAATAATAATAATAATAATAATAATAATAATAATAATAATAATAATAATAATAATAATAATAATAATAATAATAATAATAATAATAATAATAATAATAATAATAATAATAATAATAATAATAATAATAATAATAATAATAATAATAATAATAATAATAATAATAATAATAATAATAATAATAATAATAATAATAATAATAATAATAATAATAATAATAATAATAATAATAATAATAATAATAATAATAATAATAATAATAATAATAATAATAATAATAATAATAATAATAATAATAATAATAATAATAATATATTAACAGATAGGTTGGAGTACTTTACGAACGATGTAATTCATCTACTCTTTACTACATGGAAGAATGAAAATAAATTCAAATTGAAAACTTTCCTGAAAGAAAAAAAGAGGGTGGGTGATGATGTATTGATGTAGCTTATGCATAAAAAGCAAATATTCATTGCATTGATGAGAAAGACAATGATGATCATTGATCAAGGGTTACACTTGCATGCACCCATACATACAATACAATAGATGAATATCACCGACCTAGTCGTCTCAAACCGAGCCACTTATTGATTTCGACACCAGCCAGGCTCATTATAACAAGTAATACATTCTAAACCATGCACAAATTACGAAGGAAGACTATATCCGCGAAGAAATTGTGAATCCACGCCTGATTCTCGCATCAATGCCACTCGACCTGTCCTCGCAACCTGCCAAGCACCAGAAATATACTCCGTACTGAGGGTTTATATAACTGAACACCCATAAGAGTGAATTATCAGTACAAACATTATTTGTACAAAATAACCATCCATTTTCATAGCGATGCTATTAATCACTAAGCCATGATGGTCCAACCGATGTTTTGTGGTCAACTGAAAGATGCAACTAACTGAGGAGCATATAGATCATATTCTCAGTTTCACCACAGGAGTAAACAACAAACCTCGCAAATTCCATAAGGTTCCAGTAGTCTTTGCAATGCTAGTAACTTGCTGAAATCTCCTGTCAACTGCACAAGGCGTATACAACAGAAATGAACTTCAGTAAGTTGGTCAAGATATCAACATTTCGGTCAACCAATTGCAAGATAGTAGAGCAGTATACTGCACTGCACATTATTGAAGTTAGAAGATATAGAAATAACGAGTGCCGCCAAGAAACAGCTTTTCGGGATATAACATTGGTTTTTTGTAACAATTATTACCTCCAATGTTATGGTGTGATCAGACACGTCGACGGCTTTAGCTCGGAAAATATTGGCAATGTCAAGGATATCCCTCCTAGCAGAAGCATTTACTGCGACTTTTATCAACATCAGTTCCCTCTCCGCAAAGGGCAAACATGTTAGATCATGAACCTGATCAATCCACCCCGCAGCTTATTGTATTAGCAAGAACCAACAAACACAATAACTTAGGTACTTTAAGTGGATTCTGAAGAGAGGCAAGACTGACGCACACATTTTAGAGGAGGATGTTAAACAGCAAATTCATCAAACATGACATTAACCATGTCTTTCCTACTCTTAAACTAGAGGCCTGGGTTGCATGAGAAAAGGGTACAATACCCATCCCAGGTATAGCTACAGGTATGGAGTATAAAAGTTGTGTAAAAACTTGGAGCAAGTGTGCGAAAAAAAATTAAAATGTAAATTTCATCCCGTCATCATCATCATTACCCCAGTGCCGCAAAGGCTACCTAGGGTGGGGATAAGGGGAGGTCAGATGTACGTAGCCTTACCCCTGTACTAAAAAACAGAGAGACTGTTTCCGGATGACACATAGTGAAAATCGTGTCGGGGATTGCATGGACTGACTGTTATTTCATAACAAAGAAGCACTGACAGTTTCGGGAGCCATTTTGCTTGATTCCATCATATTCCCAAGCCAAAAAATAGTGTGTGTTTGGCTTCATTGCAAATGATGGGAAAAAATGTAAATTTCATCCGGTAAAAGCCGAAATTCTACTCTAACTTTAAGTCATGACGAGCCAAACTTGTTGCATGAGTAACAAAAGCAAAAGTCAAATTGAACCAAAGAGTACAACAAAGTCATTTATTGGGCCACCAGCCTACCACTATAGCCTAGGACTTAAGAGTTGAGGCTGGAATAAAAGTTCAATGGAATCATGATGTACTAAAAGTAGGGTGTGCAAAACAAAGTGTGAAGACATAATGGGGCAGGGTTTTGAAAAGAGAAAAAACAAATTAAAAGGAGAAAAACAACCTCCAGAACTACATGATTTTGACTATGCCTCGTGCCCAAGCGATACCCTAGCCGTACTCAGTCGTATTAGAGTCGTACCTGAGTCACACACATTCATCGTACCCAGTTCTTTTTCCAAAGTGGAGGAAGAATGCTTCATAGCTAGAGGATATAAAAAGATATGCAGGGTATTGACAGAAGAAAGAAATTAAGCTATCTTTTCCTGCCTCTCCCAAAAAAGAGTCGCCTTTCTAATACTGATTTTAGTATTACAAACATGACTATTTTTGGGGACAAATGGACCATATGATAAAATTACAAAAAATAAAAAATGATAAAAGCGCCCCAGCTTATTTGTTCTGATATATCCAAAAAGTAACCATCAAGATCTACGAAGTAATAGCATCATTAGCTTCAGGATATTATATTGTTTTCTAAGAGCTTACAGAGGTATTACATTTAGCATTCTCAGAGCATCTCCATTCATGCTCCCTAAATAAACAGTTTTTTGCAACATCATTGCCACATAGAAAATCTGGAATAATCTTAAAACTTATTAAAACACCTCAGCCATCATCTTTAATTATCAGATTATTTGTTGGACATACACCAAAACAAACTATATATACACATGTTCACTAATCTACACACCATCACTTCATTGCACCATTAATCAAAATCGTAAAATTAGCCGCAGTAAACTGTTTCAAAATCCTAACCAAAAACGTGTTTAACGCATGTGGTATCCCTCTTTCTAATGTTTTTATATTTAATGCTTTTTCACGGATTCACACAAATGAATTATAAAGTAGACCAAAAATCTTCAAATAATCTAGATTCTATATTTGATACCAGATTTTTTTAGAAAATAATATTTCCAAATAATCTCATCTTCTCAATCATAACCTCAAAGAAACTTATCCACATCCAATTGATCTCTAAAGAATCTAAACAAGGAGGATTCTCTAAGCCAACATCAAATGGCCTATAACAGAATATTATACGCACCTCGTGAATATCCACCAACTTGTAGAAGTGCTGAACCAGTTTTCTTATAGTTTCATCAGTTCCAGGGATAACTGTGGTAATACGTGAAAGCCCCTCTCTTTCAGCAGGACCAACCGCAAGACTCTGAAAGCAATAATGGAAATGCAATCTTCGAAGTATGTCAAGTTTAGCTCAAAAAGAAAGAATACAAACATGTAATAGATCTTAAAATATACAAGTACTCCCTCTGTCCCCCTAATTTTGTCCCGTTTTACCTTTTTCGTCTGTCCCATTAAGTTTGTCCCATACCATATTTGGTAATATTTGGGTGGTTACAATTCATTCTTACTTTATTCACACTTTATCAATTCAATACCAACCACACAATTCCACTTTTTCTTAAAAGTTGTGCCACACTCCTTTGTCCCAAACATAGTGGGACGGAGGTAGTAGTTTTTAGTCCCTTTGCTATATTGACGTCCACTGTAGTTCATTTTCAGCAACAACAAAAAGAGCTAAGTGGTCAATTTGATAATCAGCAACTAAAAGTAAAAATGTAACTATAATAGATAAACCAAAAGTGATCAATGGAAAAAATGACCTGAATATTGTAGCCTCTTCGAGATATGACCCCAGTGACAAGATTGAGTACTCCAGGCGAGTCATTAACTAGCATACATAATGTGTGTGAACGAATCCCACTTGCCTACAGCAGCAACCAGACGAAGTTACGACATGGAATCCAAACCCAATGTAATTCGTAGCTAGTACTTGATATTGAACTGGCTATACTTTGACGGATAGCTTCCCGGTAGATTTCGAAACTTAGAAAGTGAGCATTTTGTGATGCAAATTTAATGTTTAAAATAAAAATTGGCTGAAAGGAATTATTTATTCCCTCTTTGTCTGTTGCCTCTTTTGTAATAAGGACTGGGTATTATTAATATTTTTATTCAAATGTTTTCATCAAAGAAATAAAATTACTTACGTCTTCATCATATAGAACTCCCCAGTGGGCATCAAGAACCTGATTCACATAGATGTCATCATTGGATTCCACTGGATAGACGTCACCCTTCACTCAAAAAAGACTCAGTCAACACCCTTATAGGCTTATAGCATGGAAGAGACGTTGCGTAAAAATTAAATTGGAATTATGTGTAGGAAATAATGGTAGCAAGTAAATAGATATTACTATATTAAAATGTGACAATTCGAGTAACATTGGGAAATGTTTGGAATGCATTACAGCTACCCATTAAATTCCGATATATCTGAAATAGCTTCCTTTCTCAAACAATTATGTCATTCAATGCAAAAGTGAACAACCCGATTGAATTGACTTGTTGCGATTGAGATTTGTCTTTTATCTCATAATGAACAAAGCATATTTGGATTGAGAACTTGAGCAGAAGGTCCTTATGAGTCTAACTGCGGTTATAAACTTGGGCAGCGGTTTCTTCCGTTGAATATCAACTTTTCTGCTTTCATTAATTGGATAAAACTAAAACCACGGCCAACAGCCAGCCCATGAAGGTGGGGCTCAAGCCCACCCCCTCCTTCAGTAAACCAACAGGGGCCTCGGCCTCTCATCCTCCAAGTAGAGCCGCTTCTCCCTATCAACTCCATCCTCCTTCGAAACAACATTGTCCTCAAGGTTGAAATCCGGAAACTGTCTCACATAGCTCTCCTCGCTCATTCAAGTAGCAACATCACTGGATTGCCCCACCCACTTGACCAACAACTCTTCCACAGCCACCGCCATTCACACAATTGATTGGGCAGCCCAATTGATGAAAACAGAACAACTAACGGAAGAAACCGTTGTCCAAAGCCACCAGGCTGAAATCCCTGAAATCCAATATTACTGATTTGATAAACCAATAGTAAACCCTAATTAGGGATTTAAATACCCTTCTAATAACCGACTACAAAAAAAAGATATCTTAATCAACCCAAAATAGAAAACATAACCGGAAAATTATAAAAGATAAACTAAAACCGCGGCCAACAGCCAGCCCGCGAAGGTGGGCTCAAGCCCGCCCCCGCCTTCAATAGGGGCCTCGACCTCTCCTCCTCCAAGTTGAGCCGCTACTCCCTATCGACTCTATCCTCCTTCGAGACAACCTTGGCCTCAAAGTTGAAATCCAGAAACTGGCTTACAAAGTAGCATCATCACTGTATTGCCCCACGCACATGACCAGCAACTCTTCCAAAGGAACCCCATTCTCACATCTTGTTCACCAAGCCAAACCCTCATCAGGCTCAAACACCAGCCCCATTGGCAGTTCCAAACTCTCCGGCAGCCCACTCTCTACCGGAGATCGTCCACCACCCGCCGCAGTTGTGACTTATGAAACACGAGGTGTATGCGGCTGATGGGAGGCAAAGTCATCTGGTATGCCATCAGCCCCACTCGTGCCTCAACCAAAAATAGCCCATAAAACTTGGGTGATAGCTTATGTTAAGGTTGACGAAACACCATAGACTATCGATGAGGCCTAACCTTCAAAAACACCTTATCCCCAACTTTAAAATTCACCTCCCGACGATGTTTATTAGCCTGTGTAATCATGCTCTGTTGGTGGCTTCGCCAGATTATCCTTTAAACGAACCATCATGGCTTCTCAACTGTGCAAAACATCTGCCACGGCAGCCACTTTACTCTCGCCAGGCAGAAACCGCTGAATGGTGGGTGGCAGTTGCCCGTACACAACTTTGAATGGGAAAACCTAGGCTGCCGTCTAAAATGCAGTATTATACCAATATTCAGTCGATGGAAGCCACCTAAACCACTGTTTCAGTTGCTCAAAAGTAAAGCAACGCAAGTAAGTCTCCAACACACGATTCAACACCTCTGTTTGACACTTTGACCACCCTTTTCCGGATGATAAGCAAAGCTAAGTTTCAATTGCGTTCCTGAAAGTGTGAACAATTCCTTCCTTCCAAAACGCACTGACAAACAAGGAATCACGATCACTGACAATAGATCATGGAATGCCATGCAAACGGACTACTTCTTTAAAAAACGCGTCGGCTATCGAAATAAGGGTCTTAAGTGCTATGAAATGCCCGTACTTGAACAAAGAGTCGACCACCACCAAAACCTATGTGTACCCCTTTGACTTTGGCAAGCAAGTAATGAAATCCATTGAGATATCTTCCCAAATCAGGTCAGAAATGGGTAATGGCTGCAGCGACATTGCTTCATACTTGGCATTTTGACAAACCAACACTGGGCAACATAACCCTACACCCGACTGAACATTCCCCTCCAAAACACATTCATCACCAGCCTTCGGTAGCTGCGGTAAGCACATGCGTGCCCCCTGTCAGAGTGTAATGAAATTCATCCAACATGCGAGGAATCCACTTAGAATCAGAAGCCAACAATGAGCGTCCTTTAAAGAACAAACGGCTCCCCAACAATTCATAACCCGGCTTACAAGTCGGATTTGCTACCAATGCTTGAACAATTCCTTGCAAATGTGGTCTCCTCTCCTCTTCTCGATAAGGCGTCCGCCGCCACATCTGAGATGTTTGTCGTATATTTGATCACAAAATCATACCCTAACAACTTCGCCATCCAAACCCGCTATGATGGCGTTGCTATGCGCTATGTGAGAAGATATTTCAGGCTGCGAAGAGCAATTGAACCACAAACCGCCACCCAATCAAATAAGGTTGCCAATGTTGAACTGCTAAGGCCAACTCCATCATTTCTCTTTCATATGCTGACTTGGAAAGGGTTTTGTCCGCCAAGGATTTGCTGAAATAAGAAATAGGCCGTCGTTCCTGCATGAGCACCACCCCAACACTGGTACCCGACACCTCACATTCTACCACAAACTGGCGGTCAAACTGGGGTATGGTAACACGGGCGCCTCCGTCAACACCTTCTTAAGGCGTTGAAATGCATCTAAGGCCTCTAGAGGGCAAACAGACGAGCTGGTGCTTCTTTCTTCAAAAGGGTCATGAGTGGCCGTGCAATAAGACCCATACTCCCTCACAAACCTCCTTTAATACCCTGTTAGCTCTAAAAATCCCTAGACCTCACGGACTAAACGAGGTTGCAGCCAATCCACCACTGCATTGAGTTGTGTTAGGTCCATTGCCACCTCAGCCTGTGAAATAATATGCCCCAACTATTCGACCTTGAGACACCCAAAGGCACACTTCTTATTAGCTCTCAACTGATTTTCCCCAAGATGCTTAAGACCAAACTCAGGTGTTCTCGGTGGTCCGCCCAAAACTGACTGTATACCAAAATATCATCAAAGGTAACCAATACAAACTTTCACAAGTAAAGTTGGAACAAGTCATTCATTGCGGACTGGAATGTTGTTGGGGCATTTGTCAATTCGAAAGGCATAACTGAGAACACATAATGCCCATTGTGTGTTCGAAAGGCCATCTAATGGAAGTCGGGTCTAGCCACCCTGATTTGATGGTAACCGGAGCGCAAATCTATCTTGGAGAACACAACTGCCCCAGCTAACTCATCTAGCATCTCCTGTATCACCGGAATCGGGTATTTATCTGGCATTGTACACTTATTAAGCTCTCGATAGTCCACACTGCCAGCTACCATTTTCTTTTTACCCAAGAGAACCAGGCTTGAGAATGGGCTCAAAGTCGGTTGAATGAAGGGATGGGCATAAAAAAAAAAACCGTAACCAGCATACTGGATAAAAAACGAAAAAAAACGGCATTTTTTTTGTTAACCAAACTGAACTTTTTAAAAAACATGGTACGGTTAACCTACCGAAAGGAAAAAGCAGTTCAAGGTATGGTTATGGTTTTAAAATATCCCAAGGTTGGTTAACCAATAACCGGAAGTTCAATATTATATGCTTTGTATATGCTATCAAAACTTTTAATTGCAGTACATTACTACACAGTAGGTGGTTTATTCATCTTATGGCAACCATGTTGCGAATTCAAAGCCTGGCAGAACTTACAAATTAGGGACGGTTGACATAGAAATAATTAAGGAGCAATGTTGGTAGGCATAAAGGACAAACGCAGTATATTTTAAGCAAATAAAATAATGCTCCGTAAGATACTTCATCTAGCTAGTTATAATGGGTGTAGTAATTACATAGACTGTGCATAATTATTTCTTCTTATTGATTAAGAAAAAGAGTTGGTTTGAATTTTAAATATATAAATATATTAGTTCGATCCTACATTACAAGCTAAAAAGCTACTCCCTCCATATTTAAAAGTTTCCCACACTTTCCTTCTTGGGATGTATTTAAAAGTTCTCGACACTTTTCCTTTTTGGTAAGTTTTTCATTTAAAAATACTCAATTACCCTTACTTTTTCTACTTTTTATCCTCTCTTTCCTACCTTTTCACCTTCTCTCCTACTTTTTCTATACTATTCATTACCTTTACTATTCTACGGTTCTACCTTAAATCTTGTGCCATAACCAAACGTAGGGATCTTTGAAATACGGAGGGAGTATAATAAATATCTCATATCTTCAACATCTATCTACATACAAAGCAAAGAGAAAAATAGTTCATTTTTCCCGCTCAAAAATATCAAAATCAAAGGTCACATTCGGTCCAAAGGTGATGTATTGGGCTGCAACCGCTGGAAGTTAACAAAGGCTCGGTTAACATGAAAATTCACATTCATCTATACATTTGAGAATTAGGTGGGTTGGCCAACATCATGATTAAATGTTGATGTGATAGGTGTGCTACATGTGTCTATTCCTACATGGTAATAAACCAAGTAATAACCGTAGTATATGATAGACTACACTGGAATACACACTAAGTTAGCAGACCAATATAAGGAGTGTTTGCACTGCTTTTGTTTTATAAAAATCACTTTTTAAAGTTATTGTAGAAAAAGTGCTTAGTAGTAAAAGTTGATAATGCTTGCGAAAAAATTTATTTTGAAAAGTAAAAGTTGATAGTGTTTAGTAAAATATGTGCTTTTTGTGTAATAGAAAAAGTAAAAACCAAATTCTAGCTTTTAGCTTTTAGGTGTTTAATTTAAGCAGAAGTTGTCACTTGAAAACACTCTTTTCAGCTTTTTTAAGCCAAAAACTGAAAATC